ATCAAGAGATGAGCGAAAAAATAGATAGATAGATGAATGTATGGACGGGTGGATGGATGGAGACAGGATGGACACGGAAATGACGCAGGATAAATGTTTACGGAAAGGAGGGACGCTTTCCTGTAGAGGAGTGGCCCTTTTCAATAGTACAAAGTCATATATATTAAATTGTCATATGTCTGCAACATCTATGCACCTAAAAACAGCTTAAATGTCTAAGCTTTTAGAAGCTAAAAAATGTCATTTGAGTATTTTCTGTTGGAAACTGCGTTAGTTTTCTGGTCACCGCAAGCCTCCAGACCGCTGAGTCATATTTTGCTGATAAGATTGCTAGAACTTGCAGGTCGACATTTCTACCAAGTGATAACTTTTGACATCTTTGATTGCCTTTTCACATTCTTGATTTTAGACGGCCAAAAAACGCCCGTTCTTAAGGAGATCAAAGGGAATAACCAACATCGAAGGAAAAAAGTACTTTTCTAGTTATTAATTTATCATTCCATTGTTGTTATGTAACTTATTGAAGAACAATAGGGCTTATTTCTAGCTGAGGATCATCCTGTGACCACTTTATGATGTATAAGGTTCAAGCGGTTATTTGTGAGACAATCTGGGATGTCTACGATTCTCTAGAATATTTGTACAAGTGGAAAACTACTTAATAATCAGAATGGGACCATTCATGGCGACGCAGTGGCCTGCATTTATCAAGCCATGCTGCCATGTTTTCTTGACTACGGAGTCTATAGAAGGACAGGGACACTAGACGTGGTGTCTCATATCGCAATTTGGGCCTAACGTTTGGCATTTAGCTGCCAAAATGCAGGATTGGGGAAATAATGCATTTAAACTTTTGCTATAAATTGCCCCTCAGACACAGGTTTCAGACCATCATTTATTTATAGCGCTCCCGGTTTTAAAAGATGTATAAGTCAGGTAGAGCTTGTGCAGTGTTAGATAATGAAACACCCTACTGAGAACAGACCACGATAGGTTGTTTTTAGGCATCAGCGAAAGTATTTAAGGAGGATTCTAACCTGGCTTTGCCAGAATATTTTTTAACTGTGCTTGTTAAATTTGCCATCACGAAAATTGACACAAAGAAGCTCGTATTTGTCAGTGAATTGCACTGGAAGTAAGGCCCTGTGTCATGCAAAATTGCATCTAGCAGAGAGGATTCAAATCAATCAGTCATTCTGCCCTTATCCAGGGCAAGAAAGACTTTCTCTAGGAATTTATTTATTGTATTGAATTCTGAGGTACAATGGTGTGCACACAATTAAGCGCAATTCATCGTGGAGGCAGTATGTCGTATTATGCCTAAATTCACCATTCAGTCCTCCACCCCAGTTGTGCGTATCAACAACAAAAGTCCTGGTAGACATGGCGTACACCATTTTTTGGAATTGCAAATGATCCTGAATATTCATGTCTATTAATCCCCTGGACATATTCTTCTCCTCTCCAACTTCACGGATCGACGCATTTTACTTAGAATAAGAAGTTCGACTCCCAGAATGAATGTTCACTAGGCTGAGTGCTGTTGTGCCAGGTTGATACGTACATGGTTAAGGACCTCGTACTTTGTGAAGGATCCTCGTCCACAAAAGCCTCCTTTCCTAATAGCATTCCATTCGTCAACGCAACGCTACTGTTTCCTTTTATTTTGGGTAGCAGTGTTGGGGGCGATGCATGACGCCTGCGTAAACCAATAGCAATGAGGCACGCCTTGCCCCAATTGCTGTAAGATGTAGCACAGCAGAAAAACTCCCCTTTTACCCATTTAAATTTGAACGCCTAGTTCTACACGAAAAAATATTGGTAAGCCCAATTTTAACCACCCATGTGTTCGATGAAATCGTCTTTTTTTATCAAGGCGGAATAGCAAATATCGGAAATTCGTGCCTGGTTGACAGTCGTTTAAGAACCACATCACTGTCAGAGCATTTGTGCGAGGTTCATCAGCTCAGACAGTTTCACTGTTATCCCAAGGGTTAATTTATTGTCCCTGCTCTCATTACGGCGACGTGTGTCCAGCTTGAAAGTCTCGTCCCATTCCTTGTTCAAACAGGTTGGTCGGCTTGAAAGTGGCTAGGTTGCTGAACAATTTTTGTTTAAATCTAAAGAAATTTCTTATTCTTACCCACCACATCATGCGTTGCTGTGCAGTGGTGAGGGCGGTAAGCAAACCTGGTCCAATGGAACAACGGGCCTATCAAAGATATGGGATACCAGATTTCAAACGTCACAGAATAAGGTATACACATTGGATAGCTTAAGCTGGGCTTGTAGCGAAAGTGTTGTTTTCTGTTTTACTGGAGATTGATTAACAACATTTTCAGTCGTCCATCATCTAGCAACAATGATATCTGGCAATGCCTCCTCGGTGGTACCACCAAAGTACCTCCACAGATCTGATGGACAGACCAATTTGAAACTAGAAGAAACTGGCAGAGATGCAAGTGTCGTTAGTTAGTCCTATAATGAAGTTCTTATTTGTGCAGTTCATCAAAAATCTTCTGCTCTAGCCCAATGTTTCAACGACTTGAACTTAATAACGGAAATTCACTCTCCATACAGCATCATGTGAATCTGAGTGAGAAGCGTTAAGGACTACGCCTAAAGAGTAGGAAGTGAGCCATGTATATTAAAGGCATCCATTTTAACCGTACTTTTAGCTGAGTTAAAGTAATTTTAGTGATTGAACTTGCTACGCCCACAGGGTGGACTGGGATCGCTACCGGAATCGGAACATATATTGAGCATTATAAGAAATGAGTCTCAAGCTTCTTATATCTTCTTTAAAATGCTTGGTTGCAGGCTTTAATCCCGCCTCAATCCCCTCATTTGTTCGCAAGCGCATTCCATTATCAGTATGTCTGACTTCTAATGACACCATAATAATATGATGAAGTGGTTTTTTGCTAAAATAAAACAACAGTCTCACGATCAGGTTTATAATCTCTCAAATTCAATCCTTTTGTTTTCAAATCATGTGAAACTGTCAACTGCCACATGTGCCCAACTAGGGTGGGCGCGACTGCATCCCATCAGCTTGATGTATGAACACATCAAGTTGTTTTTCAACTAAATAATGGGTAAAATGTGCGCCAGTGGCAATACGCATAAGCCAACTTAAAGTAACACTTTGCTGCATCAGTAATTTGCATCAAATGGAGGAGAGCTTAGCATTCTGGATAACAGTATTTCACCCTACATACTGTAGAATCTAGCCGGGCCTTCAGTTATTCGGCTTTAAATGTATTTTCCTCATCCCATTCCTACGAGGAATTCCAACGAGAACATTGCGGGGTATTTATTGCTACTATTGGCTAAAAATGAGATCCTTTCTTCCTCATCATCGAATTATCTACTCCGTTCGCAACCCTTGTTATTGTCCCAATGACTTGGACAGAATTGCGTGCAACAAAAACGTATATTTCTACTTAAAGTAGAAATATACAAATGTGCTCCACATTTGCTTGATTTGGTATGTAGTTTTACTGAATAAACTTAGGTTTATCTGAACTTTAGTGCCTTACCTTTTAAACCCACTAAAATTTCTCACAATGTGTCAAATTTGCAAGTTTTGGCATCGTTATTAGATAATAGAGGACGAATATGAGCTTCATTATACAGGTAAACAGTTCAAGTGGCCGTCAATAGAAGTCTTATAAAGGAGAAGTAGGACTTTGGACTATCTCTTTCCACCCTTCTATGCTTCAAGACCCTCAGCAATAACATGATCTGATCATTCTTATGTATTTTTGTCAGCACATGCTGGTTCATCCCTCCAAAATATACCGTTTTATTAGTAGATGGATAAATTAATGGATGGATGGCAAATCTGTGATTAACTTGAATAGTTTGTAGCGCAGACTGAGCGAAAAAGATTGCTTAGCGGAGTAGAATTTAAAAACAGGATACGTTTGGCACACTCTTTTGATGTCCATTCGTTTGGAATTTTCTGCTGATGTAGGAAGGCGATGTAGGTTCGAATTCTAAATTATGGTGAAATTGTGTTATGTTAGCAACAGAATCAACGAATTGTCACTTTATGATCTAATGGTACGATGGACTGGACGCAGAGGATCTGCAGCGTGGTTTCCGGCAATTTGGCTAGAATTTATCGAGGTTTTGGAATAACCTAACTTTCTTCTTCAAAGAGGGTTAGTTTGAGAGTTCTTTAATAAATACAACGTTAAGAATTGGTGAGACACTACAGGATTAGACATTATCAAGATTCTAATGGGTTTAATCAAGGAATAAGACATCACGAAGAAGAGGTTGTAAAAAACGACAACGCATACACAACCAAGGCAAGGTATTTGTATGAGCCCTGATGGTTAAAGTGATTATATATGAATAGTCCCATTCTCGTATCTTCGCGTCGTTTCCACTGGTCTGATCTTACCCTAGATTACATGCACATGCAGAGCTTGTCTCCACTTGATATTAATAAGTGGGAAAACATGAGGTAAACGTTAGGTCCCAACTCAAAACCCGACTTTAAAGTTCTAAAAAAGTGCATTTTTTCCTCAATTCAAAATTTAAACGCTCCTACAACACTTGTTTGCATCACTCCGGGACACTTCAGATTTACAAAATAAATAGGTCTCCGTTTTATGGCATATTAATCACATGTACCATATTTGGGAAGAATTTTCCCTTTAATACATATAATTTATCGTTTCATTAATTAAATGCCTGATTTTTGCCCCTATAGGTCTAATTGAGGCATCCTAATGCCTTCTTGATACGCTTG